TTCCCAGACCTTGAACTTGCAATGCCTACCTCCTCTACAATAGATCCCAGTGTTCCTTCCAAGTTAAAAACTAAGGCACAGCTGTGTATTTAATTACCTCCTTACGCCTGGTTCCTATTTTAGATGTTAGAATATTATATATATATATAGACCTTCATATATATGCAGGTATAAATTATGACTTTTTAAACGCGATCTAAGAACCATGGAGTTAATCTAACCTAACTTTCTTATGTACATATGTAAATATGCAGCAGTCATTATGTATATTCACAAAACACTAACTAAAAACTAAAAAAATGACCTAAAAATAAATACCAGTAACCTAGGTAACAAGAGGAAAGGGAAGAAGGTAGGAGAACAGGGGAGGGAAAGGGGAAATACTGGTGAAATTATATTTCATGCCTTTTTAATTATGTCAGAGTGAATTCCAATGTTTTGTATAACTAAAATAACCAATAAAAAGGAAAAGATGTCAGCTAATCACCAAAAGGCAGACTGTGCCAATGTTCACACTCTCAGTACATGTGGTCAGAACTTAACCTTTTGCTTAAAAAGCAGAGGTGGAATTCCACATCAGTGTTCATTTAAAACATTTTACTTGAGGGTTCTAGATCTTCATGTGTTATCAAAGCATTTTACCCCATGTTCACTCATTCTGTATGAATTTGTAATTTTCAAGGTATGTCATTTGATATTTTTGGCAGGATGGCATCTTTCTTCACCACTTTAACCTACTTAAGTTTTATAACATGTTAATCATAGATAAAATATGCAAAGATATCATTGAGATAATAAAAGAAGACCAATCTTCCATGTATCGCACAAAGAGAACAGTTAATCTAAATAAAAGTAAGTTCAAGTTTTCCACACACTTACCAAGGAACTCCGAGAAAGCATGTTTACTGGGTAGAAGCCAAGGATCTCTGGATTTATCCCTGTAAGCTGGAAAGGAGTTTCCCTTTCCTGGTATGAGGACTAAACGCCCCAGGAGAAGATGTATTGCCAATGGCTGAGCTGGAGCGTCTTTATCTGAGAAATGTGGATGAACTGCAGAGTGAAGCTCAGCCTAGACCCAGGACTTGGGCTTGGAGCCAAAGTGTCAGAAAATCCTCCAAGAGTCTAACCAAGCTCACTGTCCACCAGGTGGACAGGTCTGTGACAGTGTCCACATCGTCAAGCAGCAGAAGTCAGTGATGTGGGTCAGTTGGATGGACCTGACTGGCGACTGGTGAGGGCAACTGTGACCTGCAGATGACAAATGTGGCTGCGACCTCATTGGATGGACCTCAGAACAATATGAGTGGAGAGAGCCAGAGAGAGCTTCCTGAGGAGTTTTGCTATTAACAAAGAAGAGAATGCGACTGTAGCTAGACCAGGACTGTAGTACACATGTAAGGTTTATTGTTCACTTTTCTTTTCCAAGCCATTTTTATTGTGTTATAATTATACCTCATGGGGTTTGTCTGTACACACAACATGGTTAGATGGGTTTTATTTTTTCTCTCCATCCTCACTCTCTCTGATCCACTTGCTCTACTCTAGTGATATCACTCCTATTTTTGTTGTTGTTGTTATTTTCATTAACGTATTCAAATCATATGTAAAATGGGGTTCGTTGTGCATATTGGTACATGGACAGATCATAATTAGTCGGTCTCATTCCCCAGTTTATCCCCACGCTGTCCACTCCTCCTTCTCTCTACGTCCCTCTTCTACTCTACTGGTCTCTCATCAGTTTTCATGTAATCGTTCTATTTCCCCTTTCTCGTTCTTACTTCCACCCATGAGAGAAAACATTAGACCACTGATTTTTCTGAGTTTGACTTATTTCACTCAGTATGATATTTCCTAGTTCCATGCATTTGCCAGCAAATGATGTGATTTCATTATTGTTTGCTTTTCTGAAGAGAAATTCCCGACCATTTGACATCATGATATCAGACTCTGGAGTTCATTCTTTGCCATCATGTAAGGTGACCTATTATGCTACTGGATGAACGAATCTGAAGTCGCTAAGAATCCATCACCTGCCTCCTGAACAGAGCATCAGAGATGTCCCTCTGCTCTCAAGGTCTCCAGCCCTCTGCACACACAGTTGTATTGAGCATGTGGCAGCATCAAAAAGGCCCAGAGCAACTTCCCCAAACTTCCAGGTGTCATGGCTACTGTTTA